GAGAATTGTTTCCTTGCCTTTTCCAGTTTCTGAAGGCTAGCTGCATTCCTTGCCTCATGGCCCCCTTCCTCCATCTTCAAAACTAGCAATGGTGGGTAGAATCCTCTTCACATGAATCTGACTCCTCTCTTCCACCTTTTCTTCCACTCTTAAGGACTCATGTGATTGGCCTACTCAGGTAATCCAGGATAATCTCCCCATCTCAAGGTCAACTGACTAGCAACATTAATTGCACCTGTAATCCTAATTCCCTTTGCCATGTAGGATAATATATTCACAGGGTCCAGGGATTAGGACATGGACATTTTTGGGGTCCATTAACCAGCCTACTGTGGTTATCTAGAAAAACATCTGGCTCCTCAGACAAGCCAATGTGAAGCAGCAATTTTTGCCATGGTCATTCTTCTGCAGCTTTGTAGATCCAGATATTAAATTTTGTTAACCCACCCTAAATTGATAGAATTGATTGACACTAGCAAAGCTAGGTAAAGGAAGTGTAGGATGCTATAGGAATATATAACAGAGTTGCCTAAGGGGCAGGGCAGGGCAGGGCAGGCCTTCTAAGAAAACAATGATTATGCTGCAACCTAAAAGGGGAAGGAAGGGTAGAATAGAATGTACAGAGAGAGTTAGAGGCACTCAAGAAAATAAAAAGTTCTGTCTGAATGGAATTTAAAACACAAGAAGCAAGACATGAGGTTCAAGAGAGAGGGGTCAGACCATCAGAAATAATAAGTCATATTAAGGAATTTGAATTTTATTCCTTTGGTTTCTCCCCACCCTTTCACCCCCAATCCTCATTCTTTTTTTTTTTTTTCTGGTGACCATTTACTTATTTATTTATTTATTTATTTATTTATTTATTTATTTATATTTAGGCGAGGGTGGCTGCAGAGGGAGAGAGAGAATCTTAAGCAGGCTCCACGCCCGATGCGGGGCTCGACACAGGGCTTAATCTCACAACACTGAAATCATGACCCAAGCCAAAATCAAGAGTTGGATGCTTAACCAACTGAGACACCCAGATGCCCTGGCGATCCTCATTTTTTAGCTCCTCTGCTACCAGTCTGAACCCTATGGCCCTATAGTTAATCACCTGAACTTCTACCTCAGAAGCACCCTGAAATTCCTTACATCCTTGCCTCTATAGTGTACCCACCGAGCAGTAACTGATATGTTGGAAAAAAAACATACAATTATGCAAATTGCTACCACTGCAAGTTTATGTTTTCTAATCTCAGCTAAGCTCTCAGTACCATGTCAGTCAATTCTTTCATTTTTCCTTGGTCATCCATTTTCCCAGTTTTTTTTTTTAACAGCTTTATTGATATAATTTACATAGATAAGGTTCACCCATTTAAAGACTATAAGTCATTGTTTTTTAGTATATTTACAGAGTTGTGTAACCATTATCATAATCTAATTTTAGAACATTGTCATCATGTCACAAGGAAACCTTATATCCTAGTCCAAGTCACCACTGTCTCTTGCTTGGACAATTGCAGTAGCATCTTGCATGGTGTGTTTCCTCCCTTTCCCCTCTACAATCTATTCTTTTTTTTTTTTAAGATTTTTTTTATTTATTTGATAGAGACAGAGGAAGAGAGGGAACACAAGCAGGGGGGAGTGGGGGAGGGAGAAGCAGGCTTCCTGCGGAGCAGGGAGCCCGATGCAGGACTCGATCCCAGGACCCCAGAATCATGACCTGAGCCAAAGGCAGCCACTTAACAACTGAGCCACTCAGGTGCCCTACAAGCTATTCTTTTTTTTTTTTTTTTAAGATTTTATTTATTTGACAGAGAGAGACACAGCGAGAGAGGGAACACAAGCAGGGGGAGTGGGAGAGGGAGAAGCAGGCTTCCCGCGGAGCAGGGAGCCCGATGCGGGGCTCGATTCCAGGACCCTGGGATCATGACCTGAGCCGAAGGCAGACGCTTAACGACTGAGCCACCCAGGCGCCCCCCTACAATCTATTCTTAATACAGAAGCTGAAATGATCTGTTCAAAACCTACCAAGGATTATAACAAGTGATTTGGTCCCCTTTACCTCTCTGATTTTATCTGCCCAAACTCCCCCTGGCTTACTGCGTTCTAGCCACATTGGCCTTCTTGCTATTTCTTGAATATGCCTGATGTGGAGAACAAGGCAAATAAAAAAAATTAAACTTCCTTAAAACTTATAGCCCACTGACACATACTTGAGACAGGCAGAGTGACCTTCCTTCCGGAACCCAACTGCCTCAATGTTAATACTTTGCTAAAGGCAAAAGGCAACGTTAGCTTGACATTAACCAGACCTCTAGGATCCTTCCAAAAATCCCTTTGGAAACTTCCTTTTTCTCTACCCGCCCCCCACAAGATATATGTTAGCAATCATCCTCCAAACATACGGCCCACTGATATACCTCTGAAGGGTCTCATGACTAAGATTTTACTAGATAGTGGTAAATGACCTTTTCCTAACAACAGCTAGCCCCTCAAGGTCCTGGAAACCTTGCTTTCAAATTCCTTAGAGACTTATGCCATCCTTAACCCCCTCCCAACTCGAAAGTGTATAATCAGCCATTCCTCACAACCCCAGTGCAGCTCTTTCTGCCCACAGGTCCTGTCCCCATGCTTTAATTTTTGCACCGAACACATCTCAAGAATTTTTCCTTGACCATTCACTCCTGAACCCCAACATTTCACATCACACTAAGCATGCTCCCACTCCGGGTCTTTGTCCTCTGCCCAGTAGTCATTTCCCTCAGATGGCCCCATGACTCACCTCTTTCCAAATGATTCTGATGATCAGTCAAATGTGGGAACCATTGTATGATAGACAAATAAAGCCTGATTTTTTTCTCCTTTGGGGTTTTATACTGAGCAATTGGCAGAGACTTTTGGTTTTTACATATTTGAACTTCCAGACACTTGGAGTCTGACTGATTACTTGTCAGGTACTAGGCACAACTGCTAAACACTGAATGCATTGTATTAATTTAATTCCCACAATAACCCAATATGGTAAGTATTATTCCTATACCCAATTTACAGCTGAGGTAACTAAGACTTATAAATAGGTTAAGTAACTTGTCCATAGTCATAGAGTAATAAGTTGCTGCAGAGCTGAATTTGAACCCAGCTCTCTCTAACTTCAAAGCCCAAGTTCATAATCATTTGGCCTCAAAGCAAAATTTAAATAAATCTCATAGATATCCTTCATCCTCAATTGTGAATATTGCAAATTATTGCAAATGGAAAGAGAAACCCAGAACTTTAAGTCCCCCATTGTCTTTCAATTTCCCTGTAAGAAATGCATGTCATTGATTTCTCATCCTCAGCTCTATTAGTGTTTTGGTCTGGATAATGCTCTGTTTGGGAGTGGGGGGTTTGTACTGTGCACTGTAGGATGTTTACGAGCATCCCTGGCCTCTGTCCACTAGGTGCCGGCAGCATCATCCTTCTTCCCCAGTTGTGACAACTAGAAATATCTCCAGAGACTGTCAGATGTCTCTGGTATAAAACCACTGTTTTCAACAATTGTACTGTACTTCTCTGTCATTTAGGTATGTCCATTTCCCTGGAAAGATAATGCTGACACCCTAATGTTTTCAGAAAAGTGATTTATTTAAAAATAAGTTTACTGGGGCACCTGGGTGGCTCAGTTGGTTAAGCATCTGCCTTCGGCTCAGGTCATGATCTCGGGGTCCTGGGATCCAGCCCCGTGTTGGGCTCCTTGCTCAGTGGGGAGTCTGCTTCTCCCTCTCCCTCTGCCTGTCGCTCCTCCTGCTTGTGCTCTCTCAAATAAATAAAATCTTTTTAAAAAAATAAGTTTACTTAAAAGTGAAGTTATATGTTCTGTATAGTCAGCTGTGTAAGTTGGCAGAGATTACTATAACAAAATACCACAAACTGAGTGGCTTAAACAGCAAAAATTTATTTTCTCACAGTGTTAGAAGCTAGAAATCAGATCAAGAGGTCTGCAGTGTTGGGTTCTTATGAGGATTCTCTCCTTGGCTTGTAGACAGCCACCTTCTTGTTCACACGGTGTTCCCCTCTGTGCCTGTGTCCCAATCTCCTCTTCTTATAAAGACACCAGTCAATATTGCATTCCCGCCCACCATAATGAACTCATTTCAACTTAATTACCTCTTTAAAGACCCTACTTTTTTTTTTTTAATTTTTAAAGGACTTCTTTATTTGAAAGAGAGCACACGCGCAGGAGGGGGGGGGGGGGGGGGGGGGAGAGAGAGAAACAGACTCCCCGCTGAGCAGGGAGCCCTAAGCAGGGCTCCATCCCAGGACCCCGGGATCAAGACCAGAGCCAAAGGCAGACGCTTAACTGACTGAGCCACCCAGGTGCCCCTAAAGACCCTATTTCTAAATACAGTCACATTCTGAGATGTTAGGGGTTAAGAATTCAACATATGAATTTTGGGAGGGCACAGTTCAGCCCATAACCCTGAGTTTATGTCTTCTCCCCTCCCTCCCTTCTGGTGTATATTGAGCACCTACTATATATGCCAGACATTCTGCTAACTGATGGTAATAGTAAGCAACAGATGTAGTCTTTTATAAAGTAATAACAAATGTCATGCAAATATTATGCCTTGGTAATGGAGATGACCGGAGAGCCTTGCCCTTCCCCTCAGGCTCCCGACCAGGTTGGGTGGGCGAAAGGGCCTAGTTAAAACTAGCTGCGAGATTCGTTAATGAGTCAGCAGCTCAAACCCCGAGACGCGGGCTTATCACAAAGCAGCAGAGAAGTCTGATGTCAGCCAGCAGCGGGCGCCACCTGAATCCGCCCTTTATTATGACGCCTGGGCCCCGCCCACCCCCTCCCTGACTCCTTCTCCTCCCGGCTCACGGTCCCGCCCCCCGCGTGTTCCTGCGAACTACCTTGAACGCTTCAAAAGCGCGTCACCATCCTCTCTAACAATGGAGGGGGGAGGTTGGAGGGGAGAGGGGTAAGGGAGGAGGGTCAGTCGGCCACGCCTGCGCCGTAGGGCAGGGGGGGCGGGCCAGCCGGCGTTGGGAGGCGGGGAAAAGCGACGCAAGCAGCCGCGACGCCATTTGCTGCAGCTGAGCGTGGGCGCAGGCGGATCTCGGAAGAACTCGGTAGCAAGACTCTCCCGCGCACGCGAGCCGGCCTCTCTTACCTGCTTGGTACCGCGAGGTCCCACGCGTCGCCCCTGGGGCCCCTCCGAGGAGTCGCCGCTCCCGCCGCCGCAGCCAACCCCAGGATAGAAGTCGGAAACGCCGGGAGGCTTCCGTCACCGCCATGCCCAAGAATAAAGGTAATGCTGCCTGGACCCCGGGACCACGACTCCGCTCCACCTGGTCTCTCCGGCCCTGCCCCCGGCCTCCGGATTGCCCAGGCCGCAGTGACCTTCCTCTCCGCTGTGCCTGCACACGGCTGCACGCGATTTGGGGCTTGGGAGAGAAGCTGGGAAGTTACTACTGTCTTCCAGTTTGGTCACACTGGGGTGGAGCCGACGCCATTTTTGTAGGGCCTCCTGCGGGAGAATGTGGGCTTTTGCTCCCGATTCGCGCCAGACTGACCGCGGCGCTTTGTGGACCTGTGGGGGAGACCTCCCTGAGGCGGCCAGGGTTTCGCAAATGAGTGCCTTTGGCTTCCTGGGCAAGGAGTTAAGCCCTGAAAGCAGTTCTTAACTTTAAAAGGGTAATGCCTGCTTTAGTGACCAGGTACTCGTGTATGGGTTTCTTTATGGATAGTTGTTGAGTATTGTTGAGACTACTCCCTCTCCCTTGTAAACAGTGGACGAAACCTTGATGTATATTTACTTATTTAAGGTTCATTTCTAGAGATTTACTATTCCCCATCCCTTTATGGGGTTTAACTTTTTTTTTAACCCCTAGAACACTTGTTCCATGTTTATCCAAGTTTTCTATTTTTGTCTCATGTGTTGTATATATGTGTTGGGAGTAAAGACCTTTTAATTTTTTAAGTTCCTTCCATTCTGAGGCTAAACGTCCACAAATTACTCGTCTCGAAGATAAATTTATTTGGAATTTCCAAAATGGAAGGTCTAATATACCTGAAAGCAGAGGAGTCCTAAAGAAATTATCCTTTTTTTTAGACTTAAAGGGATTTCTGTCTTTTAAGTATCTTTATAATTTCCCAAGGAAATTGTGTCTTTATAAATATTGCTTAAGGTAATGTGTCAATAGAAACAAGGAAACTTGTATTTCCTTCAGGAGAGGAGCATATTACACAAACCACAAGAAGTTTCCTTTGGTTATTCATCCTTGAGACCCCTGCCCTGACCCAGGCCTACTTCTGTTCTCTTTTCTACTTCACAGCTGGCTCCAGGGATTCTATCCCCTGGGGTGCTTGGTTGGGGTTCGTTGCAAGATTTGGTGCAGTTCCCTTAGGGCACTCCATTGTCTTCAGAAATCTAACTTGCAGGTCCTTTTTGCAGCATTTTATTGCTAATTATTCTGGGTGAAATAGAGTTCTAAAAAGTCAGTTTTCTTGTAACTTGTCCAGTCCTTTATTTCCTTTTAGATGGTAATTGGATCACCTCAGTAAGTATCTTATTCTCACCTTTATTTCTAGTGATGAGATTTCCAATTCCCTCACTAACTCTAAGCTCTAATGGGCAGTAATAGTATCTGTCTTAATCACATTGAATTGACACTTAGTAGATGCTCAATAAATATTTGTTGGGTTAAGTCACCTTCCTTTTGGTTGACTCTACTCTCAGATGAATAATAGGTTCCCCTTTGGTTCCCAGGGAACAGGACTTCTACATTAAATCACATCTAGTTCACTAGCCTCTTTGAAGGTTATATTCCATTACATGGCAGTAAAATAGAGAGGCGAGTGATCGGGGTATGGTTAATTCTGATAAATTGGCAAGCAATGGATCATTCTATAAATAATATTTGAAGCATACAAAAAATATAATACAATGAACACCTGGGAGTCTCTTACTCTGAACTTGAAAATTAAAACACAGAATCATTTAAAGCCCTTTGTGTCCCCCTCTCCATCCCCTCCTCCTGTCTTCCTCTGTTTTTGGAGGTAGTCACCATTCTCAATTTGTTGTTCATCATTTCAGTACTTGTAAAACCAGTCTGTTATGTTAGTGCTTTCCAAGACCCCTGAATATTATGAGATGAGGTTTACTAATGTAGAATTAAATTCATGTTTATTTTTTTTCTTTATTGGAAAAGCCAGAAGCCTTGTAAATATAATTTTGGTGATGGTTTCACAAAAATATAAATTACCACAAACTGTGTTGAATGACTTTTGCTTTGGACTGATTCTTACCAGCTTATTTCCTCTAGAATCCTCTAGATACTTTTAGCTTATTACCTCAGGAAAAAGGGTATCTTTTGGTCCACTCAAGAAGACTATTTGAAGTAAGGCGCTCCCACACTTTGAGTAAGTTACTACCTTTGCTTTTAAAATTGCCACTCCTTTAGGAATGTATGGACTACTCTGGACTGATTCAAAGAATTGCCCAACTTGGGTGTGTAACTCAGTAAACAAAGCTGGTAGGATCCTTGCCCTAATGGAGCTTTCACTCTGGTTTGAAGATTTGGCATGAATGGCATGGAGCAGAAGATACTTTTTCTAGGAAATCCGTTTTCATGTCCCCTAAGAATGCCTCACATACTGACCTCTAAGGACACTGGGTGGGTCAGGAAATTGTAGAGGCCCACCTGACAATAGCACAGAACATTGTGAGACTTCCCCCAGGACAGGTAACATGTACTTGGTTCTAGAAGTTATGTGTCTGTCTTTGCAGTGGCCGCGTGCACGTTCTTGATTCTGTTTGGGCTGTGAACCTTTTGCTGCTTCCAGGTTCTTCCCATGAGTTCTTTAATATCACTACCACTTACAGCCTTTCTCCCACCTTTTGAAAAAGGCCACTAGTGTGGTTTTAGATTCTCGAATGGGAACAAAATGCTGTGGAGAGGTACCCTAATGTGAGGGCCAGGAACAACAACAAAAAAGATTAGGTTTGAATCTCTTCACCCCCACACACTGAAATATGTAAAGTGAGTTAATTCTCTGAGCTTTGGTGAACTCTGTGATAAACTGGGGATAAATGACCTACTCATAGGGTGATTGTGACAAATAAAATGGGTGGCTTAAGTGTATAGTGGTTAAGAGTATAGTTAACTGGGGTGGGGTCTTATTCCTCACTTCAAATCCCGGATCTCACTTCTTATGATATAGCCTTGGATAAGTCACTTAACCTTTCAAAGACTATTATCTCTTGGGAAATGAAGAGAAAATGGTACCTATCTCATAGGCATAGGCTTGTTAAGGGTAAGTTACTGGGACAGTGAAAAATCTACTTGGATTAAAGCATAAGATAGTGGAAGAGAAGTATTAAGAGTTAAGAGGTAGATTGGTGTGGTTCGTAGGTTGAGAGATATATATATTCTTTAAGGTGATCATGTTGTCACTGACAGAAACAAGGGTATTGATTTAGGACCAGCTTTGTAAAAAATAAAAATAGAGTTCTGAATAAAATCGAGCCTGAGAGGACAGTACCATTCACTGGAGCCATTAGAAATATGAGACCAATGCTTGGTTGAAAATAGTGGGCTTAGATGTAAAATTATTAGCATAGAAGTGATAGGTGAGAAAAATTAATTTCCTTAGAGAGTGGGTTGACAGTGGGAATTTGGAATTAATGAAGCTCCAGAGGAATAGGCATAATTGGGGGGGGGTGGCTGGTAAAAGTCAAGAATAGTGCAAGTGGCCCTTTAAAAGTCAGAAAAAGAAGAGTTGGGAAATGATCGTTAGTGTCATTTAAAGTGTGTAAAACAAGGGGAGGGGGAGAATTACAGTTTTTTAAGGACAGCAGTAGATAGAATTCTAGAATCCTAAATGGTAGAAGGAATGTAGAGGTACTTGGATCTTCTGTTCTAACTCCTTCATTTTACATAGTCTGTAACTGAGATCCTGAGAGGTTTTTGTGAAAGCCCCTTTCATCCTTTACTTCTCCCTCCCTCTACATCTGGTCATCATTCTCTTGTTTCCATCTCAGAAATATCCCTCCTGTTTTTCTCTTCCTCTTCATGGCTAGGCTAGGCCTGCTTCATTGTACAGTTTTCGTTGAAGTTTTTTTTTTTTTTTTGGATAGTAAGTATATTTACCATTCAAATTTCAAAAAGTATGAAAAGTGAAATCTCTTTCCTAAACATGTCACATTGTAAACCAGTTCTCCTCCTCACAGGCAGTCATTGTTAACTTTTTTTGTATATGCCTTTCCAGAGGTATTTTATGTATACATAAGCAAATATGAATATGCAGCTTGCTTGCTTTTGAAAACAAATTGTCTCCCATCCAAGTACTAACCAGACCCAACCCTGCTCCCGCAGTCTGGATTTTGCTGATTGCATCCTATTTGCACCTTGCTTTTTATTGTTTTTTTCCTACATCCCACTGTTTGTTTATTATTATTAACATATAATGTATTATTTGTTTCAGGGGTACAGGTCTGTGATTCATCAGTCTTAACACCCAGCACTCGCCACAACACATACCCTCCCCAGTGTCCATCACCCAGCCACCCCATCCCCCCGACCCCCTCCGCTCCAGCAACCCTCAGTTTGTTTCCTGAGATTAAGAGTCTCTCATGGTTTGTCTCTCCCGTCTTGTTTTATTTTTTTCCTCTCTTCCCCTATGATCCTCTGCCTTGTTTCTCAAATTCCACATATCAATGAGATCATGTAATTGTCTTTCTCTGATTGACTTATTTCGCTTAGCATAATACCCTCTAGTTCCATCCACGTCATTGCAAATGGCAAGATTTCATTTTTTTTTTGAATATTCCATTGTGTATATATACCACATCTTTATCCATTCATCTGTCGATGGACATCTGGGCTCTTTCATAGTTTGGCTATTGTGGACATTGCTGCTATAAACACTGGGGTACATTTGCCCCTTCGGATCACTGTATTAGTATCTTTGGGGTAAATACCCAGTAGTGCAATTGCTGGGTCGTAGGGTAGCTGCTTTTTATTGTTTTTTATTGGACTTTGTTATTTATTTTTTTTTAAGATTTTATTTATTTGAAGAGAGTACACATGAGGGGGGTTGGGGGGCCCACGTGGGGCTCTATCCCAGGACCTGGAGATCATGAACTGAGCCCAAAGCATACTGACTGAGCCACCCAGGCGCCCCTGGACTTTGTTTTTTTTAGATTAATTACATTTGTAGGGAAATGAGCAGAAACTAGAATTCTCATATTACCCCAGCATGTTGTTAACATCTTACATGAGCCAGTATAGATACATTATTACTAACAAGTCCATAGGTTACATTAAGGTTCATTCTTTATGTTGTACATTGTGTGGGTTTTGACAAATGTATAATGACAAGTATCCACCATTACAGTATCATACAGAATAGTAATTTAACTGCCCTGAAAGTCCTCTGTGTTCCACATATTCATCTGCCCTCTCCCCAACTCATGGCAACTACTGATTTTTTTATTTTATTTTATTTTTTTTTACTGTGTCTATAGTTTTGCCTTTTCCAAAATGTTGTATGGTTGGTATCATACTATTCAGCCTTTTTGGGTTTCTTCTTTCCCTTAACAGTTTGCATTTAAGGTTCTTTCATGTCTTTCAGGAACTCGATAGCTCATTTCTTTTTATTGCTCCATTGTGTCAATGAACCACAGTTTGTTTATTCACCTACTGAAGGACATCTTGGTTGTTTCCAAGTTCACAAATTAGTGCCTTGTGTTTTTAACTTCAAATACTTTGCTCAGTGAATCTTTCCTACTGGTATAAGATAAAACTCTCAAAGCAGCCAGAGTTGTTTTCCCTCTACCACAAAATCAATGTATCCTATTCCAGGAGCTATAACTTTACCCCCAGCCCCCACCCCAAGTCATCCTACTTGATTGAACTCAAGACTTTTCATGGGGAGGTCCTGTAAAAGAGGGAGCTTATTTATTTAGAAATTTATGGGTAACCCGTTATATCTCCCACCCTGGCCCTTGTGGGTCACTGTAGGAGGGGTTCACTGAGAAATGTGCTCAACCAAGTGGTCATTATGGTCCAGGAACTTTGGTCATTGAACACAGATGTTCTCAGGGATCTATATAATTTTATGTAATACCTTCTTTTGGTTTATTTGTATTTTATGTCAGAAATAACCCAAAAGGAATTTCTTTTTTTTTTTTTAAGATTTTATTTATTTATTCATGAGAGACAGAGAAGGGAGGGAGAGAGAGAGAGAGGCAGAGGGAGAAGCGGGCTCCCAAGGAGCAGGGAGCCTGATGCGGGACTCGATCCCAGGACCCCGGGATCATGACCTGAGCTGAAGGCAGACGCCCAACCATCTGAGCCACCCAGGCGCCCCCCAAAAGGAATTTCTAAGAAGGGGAGGGGAGTGATGTGTTTGATATGATTGGAAATTGTAAATTTAATATGATTGGGTGACCACATTAGGTGAATTTTTAAATTTAAATGATTTTTTAAAGGCATGTTGTGAGTCATTTATTTCTTTAATACTATTGTTTTGTTTTTTTAAAGATTTTATTTATTTATTTGACAGAGAGAGATACAGCGAGAGAAGGAACACAAGCAGGGGGAGTGGGAGAGGGAGAAGCAGGCTTCCCGCCAAGCAGGGAGCCCGATGCGGGGCTTGATCCCAGGACCCTGGGATCATGACCCGAGCCGAAGGCAGACGCTTAACGACTGAGCCACCCAGGCGCCCCTCTTTAATACTATTGTACAGATAACGTCTTTTTCTTTCTTTAAAACCATCAGGTAAAGGAGGTAAAAATCGACGCAGAGGTAAGAATGAGAATGAATCTGAAAAAAGAGAGCTGGTGTTCAAAGAAGATGGACAAGGTAAGCATTCCTGTGAGGGTTTTTTTTTAGTAACAGTTTTCTTTTTTTTAATATGGAATTTCAATGTCTAAACATGAAAGACAGAACTATTCATAACCCTGAGCAATGACATCCTGTGGCCCTCTTTGCTCTTCTCTGTTCCTCAGCCCTCCACGCCTCTCTAGAGTGCCTCTAATCATTCCCTGGTATCCTGTGTGCAATGAGGATTGGAGGCATTTCTGTAAATGTCTGGGTTTCGTTGTTTTGTGCATGAACACTCATAATTAAGAATGAATTGTACGGTTCAGAGGGAATTAAGCCTCAAAAGCTGAGGTTAACAATTGATGATTTAGTAGACCGTTTTGATAGTAAATGGTGCTTCGTACTATTTTTATTAGACCATGGATTTTTGAGGGATGAATTAGAGGCCTTTCCCTCCCTTCTCAATGCCATTAGCATATAATTTCAGGACATAGAATACAGTGAAACTGAACAATTGACTTTTCCAAACTAAGATGCATAACACTAGTTTCCTGTATTTTTGAGCAATTTCAAACCTTTGGGAAAGTCGCAGTATTAATACAGTGAACTCCCTTAAACCCTTCACACGTGTGTGTGTGTGTGTTTCTTGAACCATTTTAAAGCTTACAGGTTGCAGACATGATACTTTTACCTTACCTGCTGCATTATGTTTCTTAAGGATATTCTCTTACATAGTCACAATAGAATTAAATCACACTCAGGTAATTTAACATGAATATATTATATATCTAGTATATAATCTGTTTTTGAAGTTTCCAGTTAATCCCAATAATTTCCAGCATATTTTAACAAAGAACTTTTTTTGATTGTCTTTTTATAGAACTTTGGTGGATTTTGTTGATGGCTGTGTTTATATAAGCCACTAAAAATGAAGCGTGTTTTGTGGCTAAAAGACCTTTTTGTTTCTTAGCCTTAGTCAGGCTTGCCTCCATTAGCAGTTGACTTCATTATGACCACCACTACTTCTTTCATATTTTTTCCTCACTTTTTTTTTTTTTTTTTTTAAGATTTTATTTATTTGACAGAGACACAGCGAGAGAGGGAACACAAGCAGGGGGAGTGAGAGAGGCTGCCTTTGAATTGGCCCACCATGTTGTGGCTCTAGGTTCAGTGTATTCTGAGCAAGTCACTTCAGCATGTTAACCCCACAGTTGAGCCTTTCAAAGTTAGGTCTCAGTATACTTAAAATCAGTGGATATTCCCTTTGGGGGTCAGTCTTATGTACAAGTTGAGTAAGCTAAAGGTTCTGAAGCAACGCCCGCCTCCGCCCCAGGTCTTCTGTCATTTAATGACAAGAGCAGAACAGACAGACCCATGTGCAAGCTAATGCTCATCATCTCAGTTTTCCAAATGGCAGTAAAACCAGGTGGATTCCTGGGTTTCCTTTTGGAAAGATTTTGATTAAAAGTTTGGCATTTTGCCTGAGAACATCTTTCTGGCTTTACAAAAACTTTAGAATAATGACTTCTAATATAACAAAGACATTACTGGGGCGCCTGGGTGGCTCAGTCAGTTAAGTGTCTGCCTTCAGCTCAGGTCATGATTCATGGGTCCTGGAATCGAGCCCCACATCGGGCTCCCTGCTCACCTGGAAGCCTGCTTCTCTCTCTCCCTCTGACCCTCCCCCCACTCATGCTCTCTCTCACTCTCACGCTCATTCTCTCTCTCAAATAAAATCTTTTTTAAAAAAAATAACAGACATTATTAACATTAAGCTACTTGTATTTGCCAAATGTACCAAAAATTGTGTTGAGATTAGCCTCTGAAGGATCTGAGGGAAAGGAGATCCAAGTTTGGGAGACGTTCCAAATGTGAGAGATTGATGAGGTATAATGTACGTTTTCAGGCATGCTGCCTTGGTCTCCAAAAATAAAGCATACAGTTATGAAGAGATAGTAGTCCTTCTGCTTATTCAAAATGAGTAGATAATTAAAGCATTTCCGATAGCAGAGATAGCTTGTTATAGAAATGACGTTATGGAGTCTAGATTATGGCTCTGCCATTAACTAGCTTAGTGTTTATTAATCCTTAGTATTTATTTTACTACACATATTTATTCCTAGTCAGTATACCTATGTGTTCTAGTCTGTTTTGTTTTGTTTTAGATTTATGTATTTATCTTAGGGCAGAGGGAGAGGGAGAGAGAATCTGAAGCAGACTCTGTGCTGAGCATGGAGCCCGATGTGGGGCTTGATCCCAGAATCCTGAGATCATGACCTGAGCCAAAACTAAGAGTTGGACTGTGCCACCCAGGCGCCCCTGTTCTAGTCAATTTTGTGTGGACTTTTAAGTTGTCTGTTATGAAAAGTTGGACACTATTCCTGAACACTTTTGTTTTCCCTCCCCCAGAGTATGCTCAAGTAATCAAAATGTTGGGAAATGGACGATTAGAAGCGATGTGTTTTGATGGTGTAAAGAGGTTATGTCACATCAGAGGGAAATTGAGAAAAAAGGTAGGTGTGGAAATTTGTTTTACTTTAAAATTGTGATTAAGAGGGGAAAATGGCTCTATAGTTTTTATGGGTCAAGGATCTCATTTTTGGAAGTTCCCCAAAGATTTCAGTAGAACAGTGATTTACCTATAATAAAACAGCCAACTCCTTGATGGTAATTTTATATGGATTCTATTTAAAGACACATTTGCATCACCTATGTTTTTTCTGCTCAAAATGTTTAGCCTGAATCTAATCATGAAGAAACTATCAACAAATCCAAATTGAGGGAGACCTGCAAAACAAATGGCCTGGCTCTTAATACAATGTTAATGATCTTAAAGGGGGAGGGGGGAACTATTCCAGTTGAATGGAGATGAAAGAAACCTCTAATGGTTAAATGGGGTAGGTGGCCTATGTTTGGATTCTGGTTTGAGGGTGGGGGCAGTAGTTGTAAAGAGTGTTAAAATAATTTGAATATGAATTACATTAAGTATTATGGTGATAATAAATTTCCTGAATGGGCTGCCTTGAAAAGGAATGATTAATTTCCTATCATAGTGGGTGTTGAGGCATATATATTAATTGGGTAAAAATCCCTCCAACTCTGATTTTTATATGGGTATTTTTTGATCCCGTTACCAAGTATAGGTACTTCACCCACAGTTGGGTGAATAGTATTTTATGGAAAGACTGACTCAATGTTGCTTTGATTCTTTATTTTTAAATATGACATGCAGTGACTTTCTTTCATAGGTTTGGATAAATACTTCAGACATTATATTGGTTGGTCTCCGAGACTACCAGGTAAAAATATGTGTGTGTGTGTGTGTGTGTGTATATATATATATATATTTTTTTTTCCCTCATCGTTCACTTGGTTGAATTTTGTGAGCCATTAATGCTTAGAACTTTCGTCATGACTGTATTTGACTGGTTTCACCCCAGCATGCTGCTCACCACTGTGTCAACAAACATTTCGTAAGGGCCAGTTATGTTTTTAAGGTATTGTGCTAGGTACGCTAGGCATCGTGGTTCCCAAATGGCCATTCTGTGGAGTCTACATTTTCGCTGTGGAAAAAATAACAGGCAATGTGAATTTTTCATAAAGCTAAATGGCCTTTTTTTTCCCCTTTTTTGATATTTAAAAAGTTCCCTTTTTTGGAATGAGTGATGTTATATAGTGGTGGTTTTGTTCGTGTTCTTGTTTGTTAAAATAAAAATTTAATCTTACGTTGGACCTTCCATGGCAATTTTTCTTTTCTTTTTAATTTATACGTGTTGAAATCAAAATCTGGAAACTGTTACTGTAGTGGATACACCTGAATGAGTCAAGCTCCCATCCCAGAAAGTGTTTATGGCCTGGTAGTGAAAAAAATAAGACAGGCACACAAGTAATTACAGTACAAACCGTGATAGAATTTGAGCACTTAGAGGAAAAAATCGTACTTCGCCTTCATGATCTCAACCTGGAGACTACTCATTGTGGGTCTCTGTAGTCCGTTTGGTTTCTACCTATTGGAATTCATCACCATATATTTAATCACATCGTGAGTGACGTTTCTGTTTTTATAACCTTGATCCTACTTTGATTTTTTAAGATATATATTCCAGAATAAAGAATTAAAATCTTCATTTGAAATGAGTGGTTCTCAACCATGAGTGAATTTTTTCCTCCAGGGACCATTTGGCGGTGCCTGGAGACATTTCTGGTTGTCAAAACTGGGGGAGGCAGTGTTGTTGGCATATAATGGATAGTGACCAGGGGTGATGCCAAATATCCTACATTGCACAGGACAGTCCCTACAACAAAGAATTACCCAGCCCAAAATGTGAACAATGCAAAAAAGCCTGCTTTAATTAATACCATTTTGGGTTGCCTGGGTGGCTCAGTTAAGCATCCGGCTCTTGATTTCGGCTCAGGTCATGATCTCAGGGTCATGAGATCAAGCCCTGCATTGGGCTCCTTGCTGGGTGTGGAGCTTGCTTAAGATTCTCAGGCGCCTGGGTGGCTCAGATGGTTAAATGTCTGCCTTTGGCTCAGGTCATGATCCCAGGGTCCTGGGATCGAGTCCTGCATCAGACTCTGTGCTCCTTGGGAGCCTGTTTCTCCCTCTGCCTCTCTCTATCTCTCTCTCTCTCTCTCTCTCTCTCTGTCTCATGAATAAATAAATAAAATCTTAAAAAAAAAAAAAAGATGCTCACTCTCCTGTGTCCGTCCTGCCCTGCCCCCCAACCCCCAACAGGGGTGCACTCTCTAACAAAACAAACAAAATACCATTCTGATGTCAAATTTCTTCTTTTGTTCTTAAAAATAGCCCCAGAAGTAGGAAGAATAATTAGTTCTGTTTGACAGATAAGGAAACCAAGGTTTGAAAACAGGTACCATTCTTTTTTTTTTTTTTAAAGATTTGATTTATTTATTTGACAGAGACACAATGAGAGACAGAACACAAGCATGGGGAGTGGGAGAGGGAGAAGCAGGCTTCCCACTGAGCAGGGAGCCTGATGCGGGCCTCAATCCCAGGACCCTGGGACCATGACCTGAGCCGAAGGCAGATGCCAAACGACTGAGCCACCCAGGCGCCCCGAAAACATGTACCATTCTGACTATAAAATGACAAGATCAACTTTCTGATTCTTAAATCTCCCACAAACCACCTTCTCTACCCTTGCCACTTAAAGGGTGATCCAGGGACCAGTGTCATCACTGACTTTTGGGAACTTGTCAGAAATGCAGGTTTTTGGACCCCACCCCAGTCCTCCTAAATTGGAATACGCATTTTAACAATTTACCTTTGAGCTTCTATAAACATTACAGTTCAAGATGTACTGGTTTGAATCACACTGCCTTTGCATCACTGATCCTCTTTGTAGCCATTAGGACCTGCTTTTAGATCCAAAGAACTTTTTGAAGTTGAAACAATCAACTTCAGTACTTTTTCTTCTTAACTGAGTTGGATTCTTTTCAAATGGGAAAGTGTGAACATTCTATGGCAGTAATTTTCAGTGGGACATTTGCATCAGAAACACTTAAAAGAGCTTTTAAAAATACAGATTCATGAGCTTCACTCCATCTCTACTAATCTACCTTCGGGAAATAGAAAGGCTCCACTGGAGATTCCAGTCAGTTCATATTCTAAGAACCACTGATTCATGGAAAGGTATATTAATTTCCTTAGGTGATTACACAGTCTCAATTTTTAGACTGTTTAATCCTGTAAATTATGGTCCCAGGGAATTTTTGTATTTCAAAAGACCTATAGGGTTCCTGGGTGGCTCAGTCGTTAAGCGTCTGCCTTGGGCTTAGGTCATGATCCCAGGGTCCTGGGATCGAGCCCCATGTCGGGCTCCCTCCTTGGCAAGAAGCCTGCTTCTCCCTTCCACTCCCCCTGCTTGTGTTCCCTCTCGCTGTGTCTCTCTGTCAAATAAATAAAAATCTTTAAAAAAAGACTTCTAATCAAAGTATAATAGTAAATAACTTAGAAAAGATTGGGTTTGCACAGTTCTCTTTTTAAAGTGAGATCTGTAGGGCGCCTGGGTGGCTCAGTTGGTTAAGCGACTGCCTTCGGCTCAGGTCATGATCCTGGAGTCCCGGGATCGAGTCCTGCATCGGGCTCCCTGCTCAGCAGGGAGTCTGCTTCTCCCTCTGACCCTCTCCCCTCTCATGCTCTCTATCTCATTCTCTCTCTCAAATAAATAAATAAAATCTTTAAAAAAAAATAAAGTGAGATCTGTAAATATCTTCCTTAAGCTTGTTGATCGTCATTCATTTATGCATGTAAGCAGCTTCATACTATATAATCCTAAGGATGTTTTTTAGAAGGTAGGAGAAAACTTTGTTTTTTAAAAGTTTTGTTTGTTTTGATACTTCTCTTTTTTTAAGCTTTTATTTGAGAGAGTGAGAGCACAAGCAGGGTGAGAGGCAGAAGGGGAAGGAGAGGAACAAGCAGACTCCCTGCTGAGCAGGGAGCCTGATGCAGGGGCCCCATCCCAGGACCCCGAGATCATGACCCAAGCTGAAGTCAGATGCTTAACCGACTGAGCCACCCAGGTGCCCATAATACTTATTTTTTTTTTTAACTTTAATTCTAGTATAATTAACAATATAGTCATTCAACATTACGGAAATTATAGTGTATATGGAAAGTCACCCAGTGCTCATGACAGCAAGTGCACTGGGTAAGAGAAAACTAAAATGTGAAAAAAGATTGTAACGACCGTTTTTAATTTTTTTATCCAGTTTGAAAATGATTTGGGATAATAATGGATAATATTTTGGCATAATCTGTTCTAAAAGTTAATTGTCTTTTTCAGGATAATAAAGCCGATGTAATTTTAAAATACAATGCAGATGAAGCTAGGAGTCTGAAGGCATATGGCGAGCTTCCAGAGCATGGTAATGTCTAAGTTATTTTATTGACCTGTCATATGGTGTTAGTACTTGGTATTATTTAGGTGAAGGAATTTTGGTAGAATTTTGCATATTTACTTTTGTGCTTACATGGTTCATTTTAAGTATGCCTGCTTATACTTCATAATACTGGATACCTTAAGAAAAAAGTAACTGGGATTCTGTCCTTAATAAATACACTCTCTGGTGTGGAGTTACACTTTATAAACTCTGAACTTCTGCCTAATACCAATCAAAGGAATACTTTCGTTACAGTATTTATTTCACAGTAACTTTCTCAAGAGATTGTCAGTGTTCATCTACTTTAAAGCAAGGATAGTAGTTACTCTTGTTGATTTTTATAAAGTTTTCAGTTCTTATCCTGTGATAAGATCCCATAGGATTTTTTAAAACCAACATTCTTTGTTTCTCTGTTACCAATACAAAAGTTATGCATTCTTTTTTTTTTTTTTTTTAGATTTTATTCATTTCAGAGACGGAGGGCGAGAGAGAGAGATTGAGCAAGCAAGCATGAGTTGGGGGAGGAGGGGGAGAGGGAGAAGCAGACTCCCTGCTGAGCAGAGAGCCCGATAGGGGTATCCATCCCAGGAGTCTGGGATCATGACCTGAGCCAAAGGCAGATGCTTAACTGACTGAGCCACCTAGGCACCCCAAAAGTTATGCATTGTTATGCGGAAAACTTAAATAAAACAAAAATAAGTCCCTCATAACGTCACCAAAGGGGAAATGTCCTTTACATACTACTTTGTAAGCCTACCTTTTTCATTTGATGTTTTTGTTTTGTAGTGTTTTTTGTTTGTTTTGGTTCTCTTGCATATTATTATGAAAACAATATAATTTTACTTAAGCATGAAAATCCTACTGAAATTATTTCCATGACATTTTCAATCTAGGAAATGCTAGTATATTGGGGACTAGGACCAGCACCTCCCAGTTCATTTTCATTGCTTAGGGGTAATCATGATTTGACTAAAGTTTCTGATTGATGAGTCTGTCTGGTGATTGGTAAGTTGTTAGCATGTGCTCTGACCATTTTTTTAGGCATAGCTGGAAGTTGTAATAGTTTCAGAATTTGTGTAACTGGAGCCTGCCTTACTTAAAAATATCTTTGTGAAATAGTTGGGACTACATCAACCTAAAAAGCTTTTGCACAGTGAAAGAAACCAACAAAACAAAGTGGCATCCTATTGAATAGGAGAAGGTACTTGGCAAATGATGTATCTAATAAATGGTTTATATCCAAAATATGTAAAGAACTCCTACAACTTGGGGCGCCTGGGTGGCTCAGTTGATTAAGCGTCTGCCTTAGGCTCAGGTCATTATCCCAGGGTCCTGGGATCGAACCCCACATCAGGCTCCCTGCTCAGCAGGGGAGTCTGCCTCTCCCTCTGCCCCTCCCTCTGCTCATGTGTGCATGCTCTTTCAAATAAATTAAAAAAGATTTTATTTATTTGAGAGCAAAAGTGAGAGATCACAGAGGGGAGATCACTGACTGAGCCACCCAGATGCCCCAAATAAAATCTTTTAAAAAAACAAAACTCCTACAACTGAATGCCTAAAAATCCTCCCAAATAATCCAATTAAAAATGGGCAGAGGACCTGAATAGACACTTTACACAGAAGACGTAGGAAGGCCAATAGGCCTGTGAAAAGAGCTTAGCATCACTAATCATCAGGGAAATGCAAATCAAAACCATCCCCTCACCCCAGTCAGAATATCTAGTATCAAAAAGACAAGAAATAACAAGTGTTGGTGAAGATGGGGAGAAAAAGGAACCCTCGTGCACCGTTGGTGGGAATGAAAACTGGTGCAGCTACTGTGGAAAACAGTATGGAGGTTCCTCAAAAAGTTAAACATAAAAATACCATTCAATTCAGTAATTCCACTACTGGATATTTACCCACAGAAAACAAAAGCACTTACTTGGAAAAATGTGTGTACCCTTGTGTTTATTGCAGCATTATTTACAATAGCCAAGATACGGAAGCAACTCAAGTGTCCACTGATAGATAAATGGATAAAGAACATATGGTTGACACACACATACACTGAGTATTACTCAGACATAAAAACAAATGAAATCTTGCCATTTGTAGTAACATGGTTGGACCTTGAGGGTATTATGCCAGGTGAAATAAATCAGAGAGACAAGTACCATATGATTTCAGTTAGACATGTGGAATCTAAAAAAACAAAAAAATGAACAAACAGCTAAGAGAGAAATAGACTCATAAATATAGAGAAGATAAACCAGTGGTTGCTGGGGGGTTGGGGGGGGTAGGTGAAATCGGTGAAGGGGATTAAGAGTTACAAACTACCAGTTCTAAAATAAGTCATGGGGATGAAAAGTGCAGCATGGGGAATATAGTCAATAATATTGTAATAACTTGGGGCACCTGGGTGGCTCAGTCGTTAAGCGTCTGCCTTCGGCTCAGGTCATGATCCTGGAGTCCCGGGATCGAGTCCCGCATCGGGCTCCCCGCTGAGCGGGGAGTCTGCTTCTCCCTCCAACCCTCCCCCCTCTCATGTGCTCTCTCTCTCTCTCTCGCATTCTTGCTCTCTCAAATAAATAAAAATCTTTAAAAAAAAAAATATTGTAATAACTTTGGTGACAGATGGTAACTATGCTTATTCTGGTGAACATACTGTAGTGTATAAAATTGTCAAATCAACTATGTTGTGCGCTTGAAATTAATATATATGTAAACTATACTTGAATTGGTATGTTTGACTCGAGTCTTTATACTTCAACATTTAATATCAGACCACTTTTAGTGCACAGTTACTCATTTTAATATCATCTTGGTTATATGAGTGTTTATTGTTTCTTTAGCTAAAATCAATGAAACTGATACATTTGGTCCTGGAGATGATGATGAAATTCAGTTTGATGACATTGGAGATGATGATGAAGACATCGATGATGTGAGTAGATGCATCTTGCATTTTCCAACTTTTCTTTCTGAATTATCCACAGAGAAACCAGCCTTTTCTCCTATCTTTTAAACTAAAAATGTTGAATAGTTAAATTAGGGTATATTTCAAGACTTGTCCATGAATTAAAATAGTATAATATAGAAAGAAGACAACTAGTCAAACTCTTAAACTTTGAAAATTCTTAAAATCTTTTGAACATTTCGGGCGCCTGGGTGGCTCAGTCGTTAAGCGTCTGCCTTCGGCTCAGGTCATGATCCCAGGGTTCTGGGCTCGAGCCCCACGTCGGGCTCCCTGCTCGGCGGGAAGCCTGCTTCTCCCTCTCCCACTCCCCCTGCTTATGTTCCTGCTCTTGCTATCTCTCTCTCTGTCAAATAAATAAATCTTTAAAAAAAAAAAATCTTTTCAACATTTCTTCCAGAAAAGATGAGTATTTGCTTTGGCGATATGAATGCTAGGCATTGGAATCATAACTTGTTTAAAAGTGTCTAAAGAGATACTAGTATGTTAGAAGAAGAATCTTGTTTGAACAGCTTGATGTGAAGCATTGGAATTACAACATTTTTTTAGAAGATTTTATTTAGTTGTTTTAGAGAGAGCACATGGGAGGTGGGCAGAGGGAGAGAGAATCCCGAGCAGACTCTGCCCTGATCATGGATCCCAACACAGGGCTCTGTCCCACAACCCTGAGATCATGACCTGAGCCAAAACCAAGAGTCAGACGCTGGACCAGCTGAGCCACCCACACACCCCAGAAGGTCTCAAATTTAACAAGGCTTTTAACATATGTTGTAATTCCAGGGGCGCCTCTCTCCCTCTGCCCCTCCCCCACATGTGTGATCTCTCTCTCTCTCTCTAAAATAAATAAATAAATAAATCTTTAAAAGGTTGAGACCTTTTGCCAATTACTTATGACAATCTGTTGGATATGCACTGTTGCCAAACTCTTGGTTTGGAGTTGGTGTGTTTTAGGAAAATGTATTATTTTTCTGAAAGGTGTAAAGCAGTGATGCTCACAAGAGCAAATGCCCTTTTGCTGTTAACAGTATTTAAATGAAATTCATACTTAGTTTCTGGCAATATAAATAATTGTAGTAGTATTACAAGTTATTCTTAACTCCGGTGTGGGCTCTTTTTCAACTTCTTAAAATAAAAATGTAGTTCAGAACCCACATGTGTATATAAATCTAAAAAATAACTATGCTAATGTTTGGTTTGATTCAAAGATGAAATTTTAGTGTACCTGGGGCAGTTGTTCCTAAGATTGTGCAACACAATTACCAGAGCCTTTCAGAAATACTAAGGCTCATCTTCGGGAAGTCTGAGTTAGGCATCAGAAGTGATACCCACTACCAGGATTCTATAATTAATATTTTTATACCTGATTTATCATATATATCTAACTATCTTTATTCATCCATCAGTCCATCTTATATTTTGATGTGTCTTCAGACCATTTAGAATACTCAGGGTGAATTAAGGATTTGAGTATATATCCTCCATGTGTATATGCGTTTATAAATTTTTACATAAATACATCATTCTTTTTTTAATGTACCTCCCTTTAGAGACCCTGAGCCACAGAATTCTTGTGACTGAATTGTTAATGATACTTTGACAGTAGATTTATTGATTATATTCTGTGACCAGAACCTGACATGGAATTGTGTTGTAAATTAAGGGCAATCCAGACATTTTTAGAGCTGGGGTAGGTCTCTTTTGGAAATTAAGAACCTAATCAGAGAACACTTTTGAATATGAATTTGAATACACTGAGGTGTATTCATTTAGGAAAATGTATTTTCCTAATTGAGGATCTAGACAGGGTTAAGATTTTCTAAGGAAAAAACTTCTGAATCTGTGCCAATGATGCCTTGGAACTGGACCCAGTAAGCTGGCAGGGGAAGAGATGGTAAAAGATGGTGGTTACTAAAGGAATTTGAGTTATCTTGAACGGTTTGCAAGGGTTGCCTTGTTACCACCTGAGAACCCTACTTTTCCAAGACATTTCTCCAGATGGTTTATAGGTACGCTAGCCTTTTTTCCTGTACCCAGGTTGAGAGGAGAATTTGGTTACTATCGGATTTGTCCCTTTCTCAGATAATACTCCTGTGTCTGCTCCCACCCCAGAATAAAAAATCTCTCATCACTAACACAAAAGGGGGGAGACAGTAAACTTAAGAATATTCTGCATAGCATGACATTCTGAAAGAGGTTGTAAAGATTCACTGGCAACAAACTGTAATTGAGAAGAACCCTGTGTATAGAATTTCCTCCTCAAAGACAGCCTTAGGGTGTGCAAGCCTCCCTTATGTGGTAGACTGCTGGAATATAAGAATTCTTTCATTTGATCTGATGTTCTTTTCCCTTCCAGATCTAAATTGAATTCAACATTTTACATTCCAATTTCTCTGAGGATTGTTCCAACAATTTGGATTTTGGCTGTGACCTGTTAAAGAAGATTAAAATTTCATTAGCATGAGTGCAATTTGTTAAAGCAGACTGATTTGTTTCTAAGGTATTTCTTTAACAACTGGTAATCCTGAATTCTCTTAAGTGAAAAGTTAAACCCCCTTTGTTCTTTTGATGTATTGGAGCTTATGGGTAAAAGACCACATCTATTTTTAAAAAGAGGGGAGAAATGCATTACTATCTTTCCTACTTTGACCCCTTCCCGTAAGTAAATGAATGTTCCGAATAAACCATTTGCCCTGCACTCATTATGGATTATGATTAAGCCCTAACTTTGACTAGCCTGTTGACTGTATATTCCAGTTACTTTGTTCCCTTGAGATTTTGATACAGTTTAAAGGAGGCAGAACTCTGCATTTGAAGTAAAAAATGATTAGGTCTGTTTTTCATATTTAAGTAGCATGTGGCTATTTTTGTACTAATTTTGATATCATGTACATTCTTTTCATGATCTTATTTTGCCACTATAAGTATATCAGCAAAAAAGCATTTCCAAAATGCAGGTTTTAGAACCTGGGTTTTAATAGCAATTTTTAATTTGTAAGGTTAGTAGTTACAGGAATTGAACAGTAGGTGGCACCCAGTCATCTTAACATTGAAACGTTGCTGTAGTTGTCAATTTTTTTTCTTACTGTGCATAGGAAAGTTCCCAAACAAGAAAAGATTGTTTTGATCATGTGCATGTATGTAGAATATTTTTAAAGAACAAAAATATTGTTAAAAGTGTCATTTTATTTCAGAAGTCATATACCTATAAGCTATAATTTTGAGTGCTTTATAAACACCTGAATTATGTATAAATGAAAATTTAATTTCCTAACAACTGTACAAACTAAGCCTTTTTCAAACTATCCCTAAGCTGGGGAAAGAGGAGGGGAATAACAATTTACTGAAAAGATGGTTTCTCATTTTAAAGTGGGAGAGCTACAGCTGAGAAATATAATAAAGACAATGTCATCTGCAGAGTATATTATACCTTGACTTTGTGTTTAGGATGTATTTTATTGTGTGTAAAGATTTGTTTTGCTTGTATTTGTTTTCAACTCTACAAAGATGAAATTAATGTCTGGGCTATTTAGACCTCACTAGCCACATTGAAATCTTACGCAACTTTAAAAGAAGAGGTCCATCATTAAGGTAATGAAACTTTTATTCTACCGGTCTCCAGAGGTGTTTTCAATGATGAAAAGTACTACAAAGGGAAATAAACCTTCATGTGGCTTCAAAAAATAAGCAAATCTCTAATCTCATGCTTATTCCTAAGTGTGCAAACTCTGGAATCAGAATCTGAGGTACTATAAAACATTATTAAATCAAAGAATAGAAATGAGTAGACAGTTGGAATTCATGTTTCTTAATTCTCTGGAGTTCTGAACACTTACCGTAGATGGAATGCATCCAAGACCATAAGCTGGTTTTTTTTAAGACTTGTAAGAAACTAGCCTTGAAGAATCAACTTAGTGATTATCTTCATCAAAATCTAAACTTAAGATATTTAGGCTTCTGTACAAAAAGTGTTTTGCTAAATTTGTGGTGTATATATAGATCCTTTTTCCGTGTTGTTTTACCAAGAATGTTGTAACTCTGCATCTGTGGTACAGTTCATGGTAGGGATGGTACAACTCACCCATTAGCTTTTCTACTTACCTCCTCTAACAAATATGGTTCGTCTAAAGATTCTTAAATTACAACTATGGTCCCCATTCATGTGTGTGTTAGTGATTTTTTTTTTCCTTGCCTACGTAGTAACAGCTCAATCTAGTGCCACTGCATCCTGGAAAATCTCAAATCATAATGATTATAAAATGGTAAAGGTCTAGGTCATATGCAACACTACTTGGAGGGATTGTTTTATTAAATTTAATGTGAAATTTGTATAGTTTTATCGATTATATTTCAAATGAGAAATGGAAGTGGTTCTTGGTGTTTTTGGTTTTGTTTTTTGGTGTGTGTATGTGGTGTTTTGTTGAGTTTCTTTGGTTGGTAGGTTTTTGGTTTGTATGGTATTTTTTTGTTTTTCGTTGTTTTTTTGGTTTTGATTTTGGGTTTTTTTTGGTTATACTCTTTGATTCCCATAACAGAGCTATAAGGTATGCCCTGAAAGAAAATAAAATGTTTGAAATCCAAGAATAATGGTTCTTACTGCTAAGCGGGTATAATTATTACTAATGAATTTGATGGGCTTGCATTTTTCATGCAGTGTTGATTCTACTTCCAGTTAGAGTATAAATAAATTGTATTACTAAGGTGGCTCAACAACCAAACCAAGCATTTGTGTGAAAAAAGACTTGCCAAGATTTAATTGCTTGACTGTTGAATCTTTTTTGAACATCCAGCCTCTTAAGAGATCCTCTTAAGGATCCTGTAAACTATGCATGATGACAGTTCGTGTATTTTATTAAGGAATGGCCATTGGTTTACTCACCACATCTACAGAATCATGGCTGTGAATATAGTTGGTTACAAAACTCCTTGTGACTTGTAGTTTAACTTAATCTCCTCTATCTTGTGTAAATATTAAATTATAGGATGGTGAATAACATCTTTAGTAGATATAAATTGCTGTCAGTAATGACTTCAGAACAACAAAGTAATCAAATAGGTAAAAGCATGTTTGAAATAAAAATACCTAGCTGGATTTATACTTTATTTGTATTGTTTACAGATTTTAAAGTATCCAGTATTAACTGTAGCTTGACGCTTAAAGTATCAGAATGAAAGTGCGGTTCTTTATGTCATAACAATTAAGATTTCACATTGGTAGGAGATGTTTAGATCTTTGTCCTGCTTAGCAAGAGGAAGTTTCATTTATACTGTTTGGACTCCAATGAACTTTTACACACTACTTTTGTGTTTTTGATTTACCTTAAACTATCATTCTTTTTATCCTTGCTTATTTCTTCCTACTCAGAAAAGAACAAAATCATAAGTCTTACTACAGCTGCATTGAGACACTTCTCAGGTACAGAGTGAACCAAGGAATTTGGAGAGTATTGGAGTGGATCCTCTTCCCCCCAGCTGCTGGGAACTTAGGAGGCAGTGTGATAGAGAGTGAAGGGAGCATGGGCCCTGGGGTCAGGAGGCCTGTGCCCCAACCCCCACTCTGCCCTTAACCTCCAGGTGACCATGGGCACCTTCTCTCACTTGTGTGAGTTTCAGGCTCCTTACCTGTAAGAATGGGGGTGATGAGAATAGTACCTGCAGAATTGGTAGGAGGATTAATTATGTCTCCATAGGTGTATTGCACCTAGAGTGGTGTCTGCCGCTTTTCACTTGGTATCCAGGACTGTGTAAGATCAAATATGCGCATCTTTTATATTCTCTATTGACCATTTCTTTCACTTGCAGTCTTTGGTTCCTATAATAAAAGAAAATTGTAAAATATATATATTCATATAGGGCATTCTTCATGATACAATATATAAAATAATTGTTATCACCCTCATTTAATTCAGCATAAGACTAACAAGTCTCTAAATTGCTTAAAGATGGATGTTTTGCAAAATACCAACTATATTTCTTTAGAGAAAGTTTATAGTTATTAATATTGATAGCTCTGGTCATATTTCATTCTTAAGTCTAATGAGTCCTTTTACTATATAGATTCATGACAGCTAATTAGTATTGACTGATTTGAAGATTTGGACTTATGTAAAAAAGTCCCATCATTTGGACTTATGTAAAAAAAAATGGATGCAAACTATTACAATTAGAAAATAAAATATGAAATAACTTTTAACCGTATGCAGTTGATTCTTTTTGCACTGTTTGACTTTTTTTTTTAACTATTTAAACTTCATGAAGATTCTTTTCTGAAAACCAATCGTGATTGAGGGAAAATGTATACTTTGTGTTTTATTTTTGTGTTTTTGGTTGTTTGATTTGAATGAATACATTCAGACTCCAGATATGGGGTTGCATTTTGTGAGTGAGTGAGTTTGTTACAAACCTGTGCAGATCAGTTCTCCATCATAAATGACCTCAAATTGCCCAAATCACATTCAATGGACCTTATTTTGTGCTCTGCAGAGACCCATGGATGAAGCAGATATCCTCTGGTCAACTTGCTTACCTTTTTTTTTTTCCCAACCTGCTCACTTTTTTAAAAACGTCTTTTCAGGACGCCTTGGTGGCTCAGTTAAGTGTCTGCCTGCAGCTCAGGTCATGATCCCGGGGTCCTGGGATCGAGCCCCGCATGGGGCTCCCTGATCAGTGAGGAGCCTGCTTCTCCCTCTCCCCTTGCACCTCCCCCTGCTCATGCTCTCTCTGTCAAATAAATAAATAAATAAAGACATCTTTTTCTGTTTGAATCCGGGCTTTGTTCAGTTCACAACTTAATGATGAGCAGATCAAAAAGTAGGAACAGAATCTGGCTTAAGTCCCCTATACCTGATACTCCGTTGCTGGTTTGATCCGCTGGAGTATCAGGTATAGAATTAGTTGGATTTTTGCAAATTTAATAAAAAACAATGCATATTTATGATTTTAAATACCTTAGAAATCTAAGAATAATTGGAATTTTGTTAACTTAAGAAAGGTTATCTATCAGAAGCAAATACAGAAACAATCTTAAAAAGCCAATTTTACAGGGCGCCTGGGTGGCACAGTTGGTTAAATGTCTGAATCTTGGGGCGCCTGGGTGGCTCAGTTGGTTAAGCGACTGCCTTCGGCTCAGGTCATGATCCTGGAGTCCCGGGATCGAGTCCCACATCGGGCT